GAAGTTTATCGCAGTCAACATATCTTGAAAAGAAACGCGACGACGTTCCAAAAATGATCAACCGCTGGAAAAATGGTCAACTTCTGCGATACGTACAGAAGATCATCCCTAACTTGCAAAAAAAAAGATTAAAAGTTTTTCGCAATAAAATTCACTTCAAGACAGAAATTCGGAATTTTTGACCTCAGTTGACTGAAGAGTGAACAAGCTACATTTTTATTCCACCAGCATTGAGTTTGAATTCATTATTTTATCATGAAGGCAAACATTTACATTCCAATTATCTCTACAAATTTTCGCATTTTTTTAGTCCTTAGGAATAGAAAAGAGAAAATTTTGAAAAGATAAACTGAATTGAAATTTTGCCAATATGAGAAAAATCAAGAGCTTAAGATTTCAAGAAATATGAAATTCAATTACATGCTAATAACCTGCTGGAATATACAGATGTCCGTAAAATTTACAGTAGTTCCAAAGAACAGGTCACAGACCTTACCCAACTATAAAAGTCAACTAAGTTGAATCCCTGTGAATCTTCACTTTTTTTAGATGGGTACTGTAGAGTTATCACCGACAAGATACAAACACTTGACCAAAATCCCTGGAAGAATTTTGAACTTATTCTTCTGAATTTGTGTATTCCTTGAAGAAAATTGAGCTATTAACACTCAAGAAAACTAAAAATGAATTTCAATGTAATATTACCGTATTTACTCAAGTACCATGCACACCTTTTTTTCTCAAATTTCAGAAGAAAAAAAGGGGTGTGTGTCATATGCAGATACAAAATTTTCAAGAAGTTTTAGTAAGTTGTGTCTTAATTATACTTGAGTATAATGGAGAAATTTGTGACAAATGTACCAAGAAAACTTTTTTTTACTGAAAAATTTGAAAATTGATCAGATTCATGTTCAATTCACACCAAAAGTCAATTTTTTGTATTAGTTTTCGAAATTTTGTGATTTTACAGTCCCTGAAAGTGGGGTGCGCATCTTAGTCAGGGATACAATTTTAGCCAAATTTTGAACTGAAAAACCCCTGAGCGCGCCTTACTCAAGGGCGCAGGGTTCTCAAGTAAATACGGTACTCTATAGTCTAATTCATAATGATAAAAAAACTAATTTTTGCTTATTTTTTCAATTTTTTTCCATCATGTGTGGTCAGAAACTAAAAATAGCTTGATTTGTTCTTGTTCTTGGCTTCTTGAGCTCTTTCTGATGCCAAAATATCAGATTTTCACATCAAAAGAAGTCATGTAAAAAAGAGATATAGAACTTCGACTCTTTTGTAATAAAATAAGTTAAAAGTTCCTGAAAGATGTCCTCTTGGTTAATTTTTAAGAGGACAAGTTCAGATACTTTTTTTCAAGGTCCAACATGCAGATGTTCCAACTTAGGGACAAGGCACATGCACCAATTACGTCCGCATCTCGGGGTCCCACTAACGTTTCGAAGAACATTTTGCTATTTATCATTTATCCTGAATCACATTAGTTCCGTTATGCGTACAAACCCGATTAGTATCTTCACTGAGATTTGTGTATGTGTGTGTATGTTCGTGAGAACAAATCACACTCACCGGGATTTTTTTTTTCGTCACACCACTCACATGTACAATAACACGCTTCAGTAAACTTGCGGAAGTTCGGCATCACCGATGATCACCTTCATTTCGATGGGGCTTGTTGAAAGTCACAAAATACCAACAACGAAAAGATACACACCAACACACGCACGAATCCAAACTCACGATAGGAAAAAACATTGAAGAGTTTCCGTCTAAAGCCTTCAGTATTTCGCAATTATATAAATATATATTTATTGTGGCGGATTTGTCGCGTCCACGGTTTAGGGGAAGTTTGGCGGACGTTATTCGCTTAGTCTGATTTAAATTTCGAGTTTTTCTTGTTGTTGTTGCTGATTCGGTGTCTCCTTCTTCTTCGAACTTTACTTCACCGTTCTTTCTTCTTTTTTCCTGATCAAAGATGGAGTTTGATCAGAAAATGCACAGGCGTCTCGGGCGGAAGCTGGGACTGAGGACTGCTGGGCAAGCACAGCAAACTCTCATCACGCTTCAAGGAGCCGCCTGCAGGTTGGATTTTATTTTATTTATTTATTTATTTTTATTTATTTTTATGTTTTCTTCCTTGATCAGAGAAATTTCACATGATGATCATTATTTTTTTAGTGGAACATGTCGGGAATCTTTCCTGGTTATTGCTGTGGAAACCACTGCAGTAATGATAATTGCCAAAATACTGTATCAGATTCCGTGTAGTTTTCTTTTGTACATTTTTTCTCTGTATCTTGTAGTTGAGAAAACATTATTTTATTCAACTGTTGAAGGAATTTCTACAGGGGAACCGATTGAAAATCCTTCTGTCCAAGTCTATGGAAAAACAAGGTCCAACGTGCAGAAATTTGTTGAATAATGTAATGTTGAACCTCTGTAAGTTGAATTTCTAGGGACCAGGAAAAAATTTGACTAGGAGAGGTTTTGATTTTTGGAGGTTTCCAGTTGAGGAAACAAAACAAAACGCTTTTTTTTGTGAGGAGAAGTGATATAAGTGTGGGAAATCATAAATGAGGATATTCTGGGCCTAAACTTGATGCCTAATGAGTTTACACCTTGCTGAACTTGGAGGCAGGGGTTCATTTGCTGTATTTGTCTTTTACTTCCTTTCAAGATGCATTAAATTATTTGTTTTAATAATTTTATCTTTCATATTGCAAGGAAATAATAACCAGAAGGCCTCAAAAAATTCAACTTGGAGGTTTTAGAGAAGAGACTTTGTGTTGGGGATTTTATTGTTTTGATCTCAAGGGAATTCAGACAAGGACTTTAAAAAATTTGACTTGAAGAAGAATTTGAATTAAAGAGGTTTGACGTATCAAGGTTCACCTGTACTGTATTTATGAAAGTACCACACGCCTTCATGTGAGACTTGAAAAATAATTTTTGAAAGAAATTAATCCTAATTTTCCATGACACAAAAATATGACTTCATGGATTTTAAACGAATTTGAAATTTGCAGAAATGTAATTTAAATAGAACTATGTGGCAATTATTTTTGCTGATTTTCTTCGGTCAGTTTTATTCAGATTTATTTTAGCTTGACAGTATAGCTGCCGAAATTTGTTTAATGAAGTGAAGTTTTCACGGAAATACCTACATGATGTAATCTCGCCTTCATATGAGACTCGAAAAATAATTTGTGAGAGAAATCAAATCCCAATTTTCCACCACACAGAAGTATGATTTGAGGAATTCCAAAAATTGTAAATTTGGATCAACGTAATTACAGTATAATGATGTGGCATTTATTTTTGCTTCTCATTTTCTTCTGCTAGTTCATTTTTAGCTTAAAAATGCATCTTCACTTAGTCTTGTCTCGAGAAAACTATTTCTTGAAACTTCACTGAAGGTGCATCAAATATGACATGCACGAAAAATTCAATACATTTTCGAAACAAATAAGATGTGCACCCCTCATTTTAATGCTACTATTTGAGACACAATACAGTGTTGACCAGGAATGCATTGACTTGTGAATAGAGTTGCATTTTATTTAAACAAAGATGAAGTCCAGGGAAAGTCAAACTTTCACCAAAATGGTATGATTGGCGTGGTTTCGCGAAAAAGTCATTAGAACAACAGTAGTTTCGAAACTTTTATTACAGTTTACTTCGAAAAAAAAAGAGATTACTCTGCAGTATTGTACTCTATTTCAGTTAAAAAATGATGCTTTCATTGAACTCAGCACTAATACAATTTTTTTCAATGATTCACTATTCAACACCAGTACAGCATACCCTTTTCCATCAAGTCGACTATTTTAGGACTTCCTTTGAAAATCGCAGGCTGGGCTCGAAAGTAAGCCTTTTGCATAAAAAAGTTATCCAACTCACTTTAATTGACCAAGTACCACTTCTCATTTTTATTAGACGCTTGTACTTCTTCCCAATTTTAATGAAATGTTTAAGCTCGATTTTCGCGTAGTTGGCGGAATATGACGCGAAGAACGGCGTTGTCTCAAAAATTGGCCCAAAATTGCGATACCCACGAAAGAATTCCATAATGTGATTTCAAAAAATGATACTAAAAAAACCACTTGCTATTTTAATTAATACACGACGGAAACTCCGTATTTTGGACATCAAAATAATAATACATCCAAGATGAATCTAGAGATTTTAATGAATCAATGCACTTTCACGTTAACAAACATTAATTGTAAACAAAATGAGTCGAAAATTTAATTTAGTATCTATGATTCCTCGCTTTAAAATTCGCGCATCACACCACAGGAGAAGAAAAATTAATACTTTTCAAAATTTTCCTCTATAGCATCAAAACTAAAACCAGGAAGCAATTCCACAGGATTTTAATTAAAGCTTTTCATACAGTGGGAATCAGCTTTTCATTCTAGAGGTAGTAAGTAGGCACTCATTTAATTTAAAAAGAAGTGTTATGCAGCCTAGAAAAAAAAATTTAGTAACAACTTGCGAAGGCCCTTTTTACCCATGATAAAACTTTTCGAATATAAAAATTAAGCTGAGGGCCCTGATTCCTCACATAAGGTTTGATACCTCGATCACTTCCTTCCTGCTAAGAAAAACGTTCGATTTTTGCTCCCTTTTCAACCAGCTGCATAAGATTAATTTTCGAACTTCCTATTTCCGGATTCGAAAGTTCACGCAAAATCTGCGACGATTTTCAGAACTTCATTCTGAACAAATTTCAACAACTTCAAAATTCGATGTAGAGCTGAGTATTGTGATAATCAAGTGGGGCTTGAATTACTTTGAGTAGGTTTTAGTTAAAGAAAAATTAAGTTTTCTTTGGTCAGCTGGTGTAAAATTTCTGAACCCAAGAAAAAGTTGCAAATAATAAATTTTGCCAGGTAAAGGTCTGTCACATTAAGCACCACTTTTGCACATACATTGGTGCCTCACCCAATGACCACAATTCATTCCTGCACAGTGGTTGTTAATTGTAACAGTTGTAAGGCAGGTCACATTTTCCCTTAAGGATTAATGTAAAACCCATGGATGGGATTCCTGAGAATATAAAGTCTGGCAGAAAAATGTAAAAATTTGCCTAAATTTTCAAAACACAAAGCACAGATCACTAAAAACACTGCTATAATTCATTCAAATGCTTTTCCTTATTAAATTGCCATGCTCTCTTTCAAAAATAACCCACAAAATTAATAGCGATTATACTTCATGCATATGCAACATCTGTGAGTGAAGCAGGATTCAATCTTAACGTATAACTTTGCATAGATGTCACTTTTGCAAGAGGCATATGAAGCAATTTTAGGCCCAGAAAATCACCAATTACAATTTCCTTCCATTCTTCTCACTTTACCTTGACAAAAATGCTTGAGAAAAACCATTTTTGTTGAGGGGAAGAAAGAACATCATTAAACTTTTTTCTTCTAACTTGATTAGTTCAAGGGAAGGCCAGAAAACGTTTGCTAGTTGGGTCAGTGGTTGTTTGGCAAGGCATTCTTTTCAGATTTTCAGTGGTTGTGGATCAGTAATTAGGCAAGGCACCACTGTATTTGTAACACTCCTTGTCCAACTCAGAAAAAAGCACACATTTTTCAATGAAATTTGCGCATCAGTGCATCACACCAGAAAAAATAATAAAATTGTCCATCTTAAAAATGAATGTAGTATGATTTTGTCACAACAAACTCCTGGAGACCAGATGAAAAATTTCCTAGCATTTTTTTTTTATGACAAAAAAATGGTACTCAGGAATTTTGTGGAAAATGGGCAACAGAAGCCCATTTCAGAAATGACCAAATTTCACACTGTTTATACAGACATAGTGCACTGTTTATTTGAAATAAAGGCATACTTTTTGAAATGGAGCTGAAGAATTTCCTAGACATACATGACGTTAAATAAAGTACTTGAATTTTTGAAAAAAAGTTATGCTTCCTTGATGTTGGAATACTTCACTGGATATTTAGATTCATCCATTTTTTGGCAATTTTCAAATAATCCTTGTGTCCCATGCTCTAAGTCAGGGACAACATTTAGTAATACTCAGAATACAGCAGTAACTGTTTTTTTTCAATTATTGTAGATATAAAAAAAATAAAATTACGCATTTATGGATTAGCTGCGGGGCCAAGGAAAAAACATCTTTAAAACAAGAACATTAGTTACAACGATAATTATTTGTAACGGAATTTTTTATTGTATTCAGATACGGAGAGGCGGACACGGCGGCCATGATCGGCGCCCCGATCGCCGCCGTCCCGATCGGCGCCAACTACGAAAAGAACCTGGCCGTGCCAAACTCGGGCAACCTTTTCCAAGAACTCGCCATTGCCCGCTTCTACCAAATGAACCGACTCAAGGAAGACATTCTGCACTTGCGCAAAAAATACGCCAGACTGCGCGCGCAAATCAAGGCCCGTCGCCTGGATCTCCGTTTCAAGCTCGCTGTGCTAAATGGGATAGAAACGGATTTTTGCGATTCGTCCAGTTGTCCGTCGCAAAAGGACATTGCCACTTCCGCCGTGTGCTCTTTGAGCCAACAGGTTAATTTAAATGACCTGAGATACAATTACAATATGTTTATACAATCAATCACTCTGTAGATAAGGACAAGGTTTGCACACAAATTAAAGAGAATTGAAATTTAATTTTAAAAGGCTTTGCTTGATCTTATTTTTCTTGGTTGAGGCATTTGTCCAGCAATTTTATGGCTGACCTCACATGTGGTAAAACAAAGCCATTAATATTTATACCCACCAATATCCCTTTGGTATAAGATACTGAAGCTGTGCTTATGGCATTTTAATAAGAAGTTCATTAGATTCTCATTTGCGTCTCAAGTGGTGTAATTACTGCTTTGTACAGTTAATACAGTATACTGGTTACAACTTTGCTAGATCACATACTTTTCTCATGCCCAGCATTCCATAGCAACAGAATCTAAGTACAGTACGCAGAGAAATTTGTTTACCTTTTATACGCTGACAAGCAGCAAATGAAGCTTTTTTATGAATGAATGAATGAACAGAACACTTTATTTGCCACTTTTCAGCGTTCACAAGGCACAACCAAGACTCCCGCATCCAAACTTTTTTNAGTGGGAATCAGCTTTTCATTCTACTCCATCATTCATCCGTGAGTAAATTAAATTTTTCTTCACAATACGTCGGATCTTTTTTTTTAAATCATTGTTGAACGCTTCCGGGAAAAATGGGTACTATTTTGAAAAGCTTATATTTTTAATTCGCGAGGGCCCTGATTCCTCACATAAGATTTGATACCTCGATCACTTTCTTCCTGCTAAGAAAAACGTTCGATTTTTGCTCCCTTTTCAACCAGCGGCATAAGATTAATTTTCGAACTTCCTATTTCCGGATTCGAAATTTCACGCAAAATCTGCGACGATTTTCAGAACTTCATTCTGACCAATTTCAACGACTTCAAAATTCGACGTAGAGCTGAGTATTGCGATAATCAAGTGGGGCTTGAATCACTTTGAGTAGGTTTTAGTCAAAGAAAAATCAAGTTTTCTTTGGTCTGCTGGTGCAGTATAAAATTTCTGAACTTGAGAAAAAATTGCAAACAATAATTTTGCCTGGTAAAGGTCTGTCACATTAAGCACCACTTTTGCATATACAGTGGTGCCTCAATTAATGACCACAATTCATTCCTGCACAGTGGTTGTTAATTGTAACAGTTGTAAGGCAGGTCACATTTTCCTTTAAGGATTAATGTAAAACCCATATATGGAATTCCTGAGAATAAAAAGTCTGGCAGAAAAATGTAAAAATTTGCCTAAATTTTCAAAACACAAAGCACAGATCACTAAAAACACTGCTATAATTCATTCAAATGCTTTTCCTTATTAAATTGCCATGCTCTCTTTCAAAAATAACCCACAAAATTAATAGCAATTATCCTTAATGCATATGCAACATCTGTGAGTGAAGCAGGATTCAATCCTAATGTATAACTTGGCATAGATGTCACTTTTGCAAGAGGCATATGAAGCAATTTTACGCCCAGAAAATCACCAATTAAAATTTCCTCCATTCTTCTCACTTTACCTTGACAAAAATGCTTGAGAAAAAACCATTTTGTTCAGGGGAAGAAAGAACATCATTAATTTTTTTCTTTTAAATTGATAAGTTCAAGGGAAGGCCAGAAAACATTTGCTAGGTGGGTCAGTGGTTGTTTGGCAAGGCATTTTTTCAGATTTTCAGTGGTTGTGGATCAGTAATTAAGCAAGGCACCACTGTATTTGTAACAATCCTTGTCCAATCAGAAAAAAGCACACATTTTTCACTGAAATTTGCGCATCAGTGCATCACACCAGAAAAAAAAGAATAAAATTATCCATCTTCAAAATGAATGTAGTATGATTTTGTCACAACAAACTCCTGGAGACCAGATGAAAAATTTCCTAGCATTTTTTTTAATGACAAAAAAATGGTACTCAGGAATTTTGTGGAAAATAGGCAACAGAAGCCCATTTCAGAAATGACCAAATTTCACACTGTTTATACTGACATAGTGCACTGTTTATTTGAAATAAAGGCATACTTTTTGAAATGGAGCTGAAGAATTTCCTAGACATACATGACATTAAATAAAGTACTTGCATTTTTGACAGAAAGTTATGCTTCCTTGATGTTGGAATACTTCATTAGATATTCAGATTAATACATTTTTTTAGCAATTTCCAAATAATCCTTGTGTCCCATGCTCTAAGTCAGGGACGACATTTTGTAATACAGTACTCAAAATACAGCATTAACTCTTTTTTTCAATTATTGTAGATTTTAAAAAATAACGCATTTATGGAGAAACTGCGGGGGCCAAGGAAAAAACATCTTTAAAACAAGAACATTAGTTACAACGATAATTATTTGTAACGGAATTTTTTAAACATAAGTCTATGCCTCTCCGCCTGTGCCGCCGGTACTAGCCGCGGGGCTAGCGGCGGCAGGGCTAGCCGCGGTTGATGCTTTTCTTGGACCGGCACGGTTTGAGCCCGTTGGAAAAGGTTCTTGAGGCCATTGCCCGCTTCTACCAAATGAACCGACTCAAGGAAGACATTCTGCACTTGCGCAAAAAATACGCCAGACTGCGCGCGCAAATCAAGGCCCGTCGCCTGGATCTCCGTTTCAAGCTCGCTGTGCTAAATGGGATAGAAACGGATTTGTGCGATTCGTCCAGTTGTCCGTCGCAAAAGGACATTGCCACTTCCGCCGTGTGCTCTTTGAGCCAACAGGTTAATTTAAATGACCTGAGATACAATTACAATATGTTTATACAATCAATCACTCTGTAGATAAGGACAAGGTTTGCACACAAATTAAAGAGAATTGAAATTTAATTTTAAAAGGCTTTGCTTGATCTTATTTTTCTTGGTTGAGGCATTTGTCCAGCAATTTTATGGCTGACCTCACATGTGGTAAAACAAAGCCATTAATATTTATACCCACCAATATCCCTTTGGTATAAGATACTGAAGCTGTGCTTATGGCATTTTAATAAAAAGTTCATTAGATTCTCATTTGCGTCTCAAGTGGTGTAATTACTGCTTTGTACAGTTAATACAGTATACTGGTTACAACTTTGCTAGATCACGTACTTTTCTCATGCCCAGCATTCCATAGCAACAGAATCTAAGTACAGTACGCAGAGAAATTTGTTTACCTTTTATACGCTGACAAGCAGCAAATGAAGCTTTTTTATGAATGAATGAATGAACAGAACACTCTATTTGCCACTTTTCAGCGTTCACAAGGCACAACCAAGACTCCCGCATCCAAACTTTTTTACTCTATCAATCAATAAATCAGATACGGTTTCACAATTAACTGATCATGGATATCAATGATTACTTTCTACCTGCTAAAAAAAACCGCTCGATTTTTGCTCCCTTTTCATAAGAATAATTTTCTAACTTCCTATTTCCCGATTCGAAATTTCGCGCAAAATCCGCGACGATTTTCAGGACTTCTTTCGGACTAATTTGATGTTTCCAAAAATTTCCAGTTCAACCAGTAGTTTTTTACGCATGAAAAATTCCATCAGATATTCATAAAAATTCTACAAAAATCGGTCCTTGTTTCCAGATGTACCGTTTTATTTATTCTTTTTTTTTACGCACGATCAAAGAACAAAAAACTAGAATTCAGAAACGCGATTTCAAGTTGAACCAAAGGAAAACTGATGCGTAAGGCACTTAAAACCGGGCTTCTCCAAAATTGGGATTCATATATTGACAACACTATTTTTTGCCGTGATTTTCTCCCACTTCTGGCGGCATTCAAGGTTCAAGATTGGGATTTCCTGCTCAATTTTTAGCGGTCTAGATCGAACGAGGTTATGGGCTATATAGAATTGAAACAACTTCCTCGTCTTTATTGATTTTGAGGAAAGTTTTGACGAAAGGCACGTGACTTAACCACCAACCGTAAAAAAAAAAAAAAAAACTTCCTGTTCCGCGTTGAATCCTGACCGTATGAAAGAGAACAGGAAATGTACGAAAGGAAGTACTTTTATGCTTCAACGATCACTGCGGATTTCGTAACGATTACAGTCGCAGCTAGTCGAGGGAAACCGCCGAGTCGATAGTAAATTTCATCGCGACGAACAAAGAAGACGTCACAGTATTCTTTTTTTTTTTTTTAACTCAGGTTCAAATGCTGAAAAACGAGTACGAGATCGGAGAGAAAAGCCTGCAATTTCGCATCGATCAACTCCAGTGGGTGAAAAGGAATCTGGAAGTGACTAAAATTGATAACATAAAGGCCGAGACGAAAAATCAGGAAGTCATTCTCCGCGACTCGGTCAACAAGGCACAAGCTCTTCGTAACGGTACGCAACGATTTTTTTTTTTTAGCAATTTCCACGGTCGTTCAGCCGAAATTTTTAAATGCTTGCGCTATTTAATCGAAAAACAAAATTATTCGTCGTCGACAAAAAACGTTTGCAATGTTTTCCATGCGAAAATAGAGCAATTTCAGTGCTCGAGGTCGAAAAGTAACTACTGTATACAATTGGACCCCCCCACATGAGACGTCGACGAGATTACTTTCTTGACAGTTTTTCATTCCTTGCTCTGTCCGCATGTAACATTAAATTTTCCCCGTAGACTTCAATGGGAAAATTTTAGAAACTTCGATCATTGACACACGAAAACCCGTCCTGTCGAGTCATATCTCAATTAACACAAGGAGCTACGGTTCCCATTATTTTTAGTATCCTTCAAATGTAAAATGCAGTCAATACCCTAAAAAATTTGTTGGCGACTCGCAGCGCTTTTGCGAACCCCACTCACTTTCCCGCACTAAAAATTTATAAACATTGCACTCATTAATTTTGAAATTGCCATTGTTCTGAAAAACAGTTGCACAAACGATGTACGAGAGGTTGTTGGGACTCGTGAAAACATTCGAGGAGACTGAGGAGCTCAAACACAGCATCATTGCTGCGAAGATGACGCTGGAAGCTGAAAGCGTCGTCACTGACAGGGACGAAGAAGCCCCCGAATTGCGACAATTTAAGGTAAAGCGCGAAATGTCGATTTTTAATCAATGGAGGCGATCTTTCCACTTTTTTTTGAATGCGTAAATTTCAAAGGGAGGAGAATTCACGGAATTACCCACTTTTTTGATCCACAAACCACAATTCACACAGCACTTCGAACACTTTTCCGACTTCTGGAAAGAATTTGTAAAAGCCTGTTTTAATTATAACTCATTGATTCCAAGCCTATTCTATTTGTACTCGATTTCATTCATATCTAGATAGCTTGGGAACATTTTTTCGACAATTTCAAAGTCCACATCTTTTATTCAAATTTTCAACAAAATATGAGACGAAGTATTGGCATCTGTTGCGATCAGTCAAAACTCAACAGACCAAGGAAATACCGAAGTTTTGAATTAAGCTACAAAAAAAAAGTATTTTTATTGCAGGCCAAAAATCATGTTCCAATTTTCCAACGTAATCTGCGAGTGGTGTTCAGAAAAATTGTACAATAAAAAAGGAAAAACATATTGTCAAATGAGGTGTCTGCTTGTATATTAGATAACTTCTTCGCATAGCACATGTATTTCTTAAAACTATTTTTTGCGTTGTTTGTATTTTTGTTGGGACGCAAAAAGCACCCGCGTTCCAAATGAGGTCCATAGCAGGGATAGGTTAATTAATTACTGGTTCCGAATAACAGCGGCGCCAATCCAGTCGAATTACCTTGAATTTCAATCAATTAACGCACTCCTTCCGTGCATTTTCATTTGTTGATTACGACTAATCGTATTTACCATTTTCGGAATTCCTCGATCAGAAAAGTTTTTAGAATTATTCTGACGCATGTTACATTTCTCTTAACTTTTTCCATTCCTTTCGAATTATTTTAAAGCATTAAATTTCTTCCTCTTAAAAAAAGCAGCTCAAAATCTGTGAGCGGGATTACAGAGACTAATTTTATCTTCATTACACCAGCACAATCTTCTATCGCGACTTCCGCCGGAAATGCTGGCTTCTCGCGACGTTTCCTGTCCATCCGAATACATCATCAAGGATCTCGAGGAATTTCTTCGCCTAATGACACGTGCAAAGGCCCTCACAAAAATATACTCGCATCTTCGCGCACCACTCGCCGAATTCAAAGTGTCGTAATCAAAAACCTGCAAGATTCACAAACAAAAACATCAAGGCAACATTCCTGTTTTATTCTCTTGTTTATCGTTACGCATATTTCGCTTTTTTTTTTAAATTGAAACCAAAATGAAAACGCATAAAAGACACTGTTCGCGTATTTAATTTTTTTTATTCCAGCAGTTATTTTTTCTCTCGTTTTTTTTTTTGTACGCGGACGAGCTCGTGACATAACACAAAAAAATCCCTCGCCAAAATCACATTCAGAAGGGATTTCTATCTGGGAATGCGACACATTTCCGAATTCACCACAAACCCATTCTCACACAATTCTTTCCTAACCAAACCCGAAGATTTTCCTGAAAGTAAAATTTTTCAAGCGCGCTTCGCCATTGGTTAACGAGAACACGAACACGAGCGCCATCCTTTTTCCGTCGGACGACCTTCAATGAAAACGAATTTACGTTAGATTAAGTTTTCAATATTAAGTAAAATCGATCGCATCGCTTTCGAATCGAGCGCATTGAAATACAAACAGAAAGTCGACGATGGCAAGAGAAAGCCGAAATCCAATCAGTACGAGTGAAAAACCTCGATCAAGAAAACAAATTATAATAATACAATGGCGCGTCAGTCATAGGAAATTGGACGCGAACGTATCCAGGCATCGGCTAACCGAAACATAAATTCGAATGAACTTCTCAGTGATACTGATCGAAATCGTCGCCTTCGGTTTGTAGCAAGGAGCAGGAAACTGCGGACAAGAAAATCGACGAAAATCTAACTGAAAACTCGATCACTTTCCTTGATATTCTCAAAAAGTAGGACGAAGAAAGTTCTCATTACTGTAATTCTAGGATTTGCATTTCTCGGATCAAACGGGATCCTATTATTGATTTCACAAGGTACATTCGTATGAATAATTAAGTTATGTTCGTTGATGATCAAGATGACCGTACCCAGATTTCTCGGATACAATCCGCAATGATTGAGACTGAACAAGTTTTGAAGTGACACCAAAAATGAAATACTGTACCAACAAATAAATAAGATAAAAAAGATGAGCTCTTTCATGAAAGCGAACAAATATTGTGATTCGACAGAGTAAAAAATGGAGGTTGGGCCGAAATTCGCGATCGTGTTTTCCTTTATCCACGAACGATTAAAAGATTGATGTCCACTTCTTTCTTCATTTCTGGTTAGAATTTCAAGTGGGAAAGAGTCGAAGTCATGAGGATGATGAAACACGTTTGACTTTCCTTCACTGAAGTACTCAAGAGAGCGATTTTAATTCATGTTCAACTTTTCCGAACGTACCCGGATTCCCTTCTTATTCAAAAAATTGGCGAATCAAGTCTCATAAAACAAAATCCAAGAACAAGTTCTAGCAGCACCGATACCCGCAATATTGCCTTGATGAGAGCAGTTGATTCTCTGAACTTTTCTCCAGCTTCCATCAAACTGAAAAATGTCTCGCGCTTTCAAGTTCTAAAATTATTACATTGTTACCATCTACCCTTAAATGACTCGTATTTGAAAATGAAATCAATAACGCTGGATAATCATCCGAAATTCGGTTAGCGAGAGTGCTCGATTTTCAGAACCGGAGGTTTACACTGAATCGGTTTCGAAGTCTCAATTTCCATAAAATCCTCAAAATGATACAGTATTCCCTGACCGCATGAAGCTATTGGATTTTCTCCCAAGCTATTGGATTACTTCGAATCACTGACACGCAACAACATCCTGAAACGCATTTCCCGACAAACACGGACCGATTGCGTTAATTCTCCTCAACGACACTAACCTTTCCACTGACCATTTGACCGACAGCGAGAAGCCACTCGATTAAAACCACTCAATAGAAAGTTGGACTAGAGGCCGATACGCAACGCGACTAATACAATACATTGACAACCGGGTCACAGCCGAAACAACACGGGCATTGGACGCAGAAGAACAACTCGAATCGGAATAGAGCATTTTCTTGTCTCCGGGGTTCCACCCACCACCAAAACGTTTCACCCATTCGCAGTGTCGTTTTGAGCCATTTGATCGCAGCACTGCAATATCCGATTCTCCAGCGCGGAGACTGACGCTGAAGTGCTTGCAAATGATTCAGTGACCCAATTCACGCTTTCCGTAAGGTTTTTGACAGAGGCTTCCAAAATGGGTAGATTTGCTGTCGAATTTTTCAACGCTTGGATGTCACCCTGTGGAAACGCGAGGACACGAACCTTAGTAAATCGACAGAAATATGAAGACGTACAAAAATTGCGCAGCCTAACGCTTGAAAAAGGTGCGCATGGCTCAATATAAATCCATGACGCAAGCTTGGCTCTATAGTAGTTCGACATTGAACTGAACAAAACAAAAATTACAGATGCATTTCAAGATGCTCTACATTGGTGGTCTGCAGAAGTTTTTTGCTGGTCCGAAAAAAATTTTCTTCAGCATATTAAATTTATCAGACAGCAATGAAGTCTGTTATCTTCACCTGAAATTCTGGAAAGACCATGACAGTTGAAATTATCTGATGAAAAATACAAATTGGCTCTTTTCTAATAACACCGCAGAAAAAAATTCACCTCCTGGAATAAATTATTTAAAGTTAGCATTCTGAGAAGACTTTTTCGAGGCCCAGCGTTTTTTTTTTTGTTTAAACATGCCCCTATAGTTGCTTCACGAATTTTCAACTTGATTTTTGCAATTAAAGTTTCGGTTGGGGGACTATATGGCAGGTAATTAAAAATTGTCTGCTGGTCTGCATAAATTTAACGGAACTTTGCCGGTCCACGGAAATTTCCTGGCCCGCCCGCCCAAAAAGTTCGGGAAACACTATTCTACATCATAATCCCGTCGTTTTTTGAAGAATGTGAGTGATACATGTCATTAATTTCAAAAAAATGTACGCTTTAGGACATTCATAGCATTTTCTGTCTTTAAAACAACCAATAAAATTCTGCAAGTGGGACAGTAAAAAAATTGCAACAAACATCACAACAACCATTTCGCCGTCGTAACAACGACATGGAAGTTCTGTTAGAAAGAATTCAGCTTCACACAAAAACTTGATCCACGATTATTTCAGCTAAAAAAAAAAAAAAAAAAATTAGTAAAAAAATATCTCGGGACTTTGAAGATTAACACGAACAACATTAAATCACCGATAACCCTATTAAACCACATGAGCTCATATCACCTCATCAAACTGAATCTAACTCGATAAATTAAATTTCGGATGAGATCAAACACGATCTGGATCAGCAGCAAAATATATTAGGATAACGAACTCACATGATGCATATGAAGGTCTTCGAGCGCAAATGCCACGGATTTGTTCATCGCTTCTACTTGCGTCCTATCCGGTACATTTTTAACAAGGTCCTCCACAGCTGTGACTCGGTTAGCACAGGCGTCAACTCGACCCACCATCGAAGTCGAGGCATTTCGCACCATGCCCAGTTGCGAGGTCACGTCGCGGAGCTGTGACCCGAATGTAGCCATGGTACTTTGCATAGTCTTAACATCGTCCGGCAACGAAAGCAAATCCTCTGTCCCAGATTTCATCAGCCCGTTCTCCAGTTTCGACACGGATGTTCTCAGCATGCCCAACTAATGGACCGAAAGATCAGAGCGCGTAGTAATCAATTCAAACCCTCTTTCTCGGTCGAAATAGCACATATTCCGCAAAAAAAAATATTGCGAACAGCGTCCCGAGTCCTGAGATGAAAACATGTAGGAATTAAATTTGCATGAAAAACTAGGCTAGACGTCACTCGAATTTTGCGACTACAACGACGAAAATCGTAACTTTTCTCGGAACAAGAATATCAAGAGTTGGCACATGACTTCTAAAAACCCTCCGCTTCCATTCTTTAATTCATTTTTTAGGAAACAACATCTGATCATTTCTTGACATGTTTTTCAAATTTCCTTTCACTAAGGTTGACTCGTCAAATGCTGCGAGTTCAAAGAGGATGTTTCCAACACTTCACCGATTACTTCACAGATGTTACCATCAAGACGACATGGATCTTGGCAAGTTTTTAAATCGTAGAGCTAAATGTACAGGTTGCTCTGGATGTATATTCTTGAAAAAGGATGCTGTCCAAATCAGGGTCGTTATCGAAGATAAATCTTTAGCAGATTATAAGACATTTTCTTTCAAGCCCTGTTTTTTAACTGATGATGGTGCAAAGAATTTTACTCTGAAGTTCTGGGATCGCCTTTTTAGGCAAAGTACTGACAGAAAAAATTTTGACAACCCGTATCAAGAAGTCAACAGAACCAAAAGATAATACGCATGATGGGGTGATCCTCAACAGGGCGAATATTGCTACAGGATTTCACACAGAGACGGAGTCGAGATTTTCTTACTGTTCTGGACAGAAACAGGTTTTGTCAGAGGAATACCTTTCTTAAATTTCTTGTAAATTAATTATTATACATCATAAATGAAACAGCATGGAAATGCAGAGGAAATTCCTCGAATTTGGATAGTTTACGATGATGACGCAGCAGTGACATCAAGGGCTAATTACAAGTGATCCGAACATACTCGTAATGGTGAAAGATCACCCTTTCTCGGAATTCAAATGCCATTCAACACCAGAAAACGAGGAAAACGTTGGCTGACGTGGAGACGAACCTGCTTTGATCACGACTAACTGAATACGATGAAAATTCCAATTTTCATAGCATGTCTCTCAAGGTTTCTTCTAAAAACACTTCGAACAGAGAACAAACTTGAACGCTTACGCATTAATTCATCAGAAAATCTGAAAACTGAACCCATACAACATAAGCTGAATCATATTGTAATCAACGTGATGAAACTCGCCATCACGTGGAGATAAACCTGCTCGTGTTTTTGTAATGCCAACACTGGTCGATGCTCTCTACATTTCTACAATAGCAATGTCAAATCGCAATTCTTTGATCACACTTGACAAAAACATGTTTTTCTCAACAAGGTACAGAGTAAGATAGTTTACTTGAGTCGTCAGGTTATTTATCCTGTCTGAGATCTCCAGGATTCTGTTGGCAATGGCGGTTTGATTTTCGGATACAGCTTTCAGTTTGGTATGGTACTCGTGCAGCTGGTTGGGGACCTTCTGGTTTCCGGACTCCACTGCGAACAAGAAGAAAATATCATTACAAATTTGTTTTCAAAAATTAATTACAGTAAACAAATTTTCTCTAAAACTCTTCCCGAACTAACTTTCCGGAATATAAGACAGATGTCGTCTCAATCACGGAAACTAACCAAAACAAAAACCACAATGGGAGCTAACCACGATCGTTTTCAGACATCAGAACCAATTCGATTTGTGCCACGTATGGTAGGTGTCGCCTGCATTCATAATTTTGATGGAAACGGAATAATCGAGCCAACACGAACTCCAATACTACACCCTAACCAATAACCTAACTAAATTTTGATTAAATAGAAAGGGAGAAGATTCAGGTGACACTTACTCTTAATTCAAGAAACAAAAGGAGGTCCGGCGTCAAACTGAGGGAAATGAACATTTCTTATCGATAATTTTCGCTCGAGACTGGGTGGAAATTATAATTTTTTATTTTTATTTTGCTGAACTGAAGAGGAATAAGCATCATATCCCACGAGGATCGAGAGTCGACAGAGAGACTCAATGAACAAAAAATAAATCGTAAACCTTTTTCGATCTCCAATCGGAGCTGCTCTACGCGTGCTTGCGTGGAGATCACGACGGCAATTAACCCACCGGAAATCACGGAAACGAGGAGAACCAACACCAGGAATTTAATTATACACAGAGATCCACTTTTTCGCGGCACCTCAATCGCAGTGCTGGGTTCATCCGAGGAACCCGAAGATTCCTCACTTTCAGACCCACGATGGGTCATACGTCTCCAACGGGATATTCTGGCACGTCGCTCCAATCGCGCCTTTTTCGCCTCCATTTCCACTTAATTTTTCTGCGCACATTTTCAAAATTTGAAGACAGGGAAAACAGAAGAGCGTAACTAATGCACAGTGAACAAAAGCCGTCCCACAGAAATCCGGAGAAAATTGATCTTATTACATCATGCGAATGATGAAATTCATTTTTTTTTTGGAATCGCAATAATTGAACAGGAATTCGTGAAGATAGGCAGTAAATGTGGGATCAGGAATGAAAACGAATCTTCCCAAGCATTTTTACCTTCTCTTCGATCAGTCGGCAAAATTTTGTTTTCTTCCATGAAAAATTGAAAAGTTGAGTAAACCATCTTCGTGTGTTTCTCTACATATTATCCCGACTTATTCAAACAATTCTTCAATTCTAGAGAAGAAAATGGAGCACGTAAGATTATCGATTAGAAGTGGGAACGAATCTTCGTAGTTTAAGTTTCGAAAAAAAAAATTTATTTCTCTCTGTGTTTAAATTGAATTTGGTTTTCCTTCCGAAATGCGTGGGGAACTTCTAAAAGCCTCGATAATTGAAGCGAGTAAAGTTTCATGCAATAACATCACAAAAACTGCAGAGTTTCAGTTTTTTGAAAGGAAAATTCATTTCTGGTTATAATTGGCTTTTCAAGAGAAAAACTAAAAGCCGGAACAAATCATCTTGGGTTTCAAAGTTGAGACTGTAGTCCCACGACGCATTCTTTTTCATCGAACAATTTTCAATTAGATGAATTAGAAGATAATCTCCAAAATTTAAAACGAACGAAGTTTCCTTTTTTTTCACTACTTGCTCAACGCGTGTTAAAACCATGTCCTCTTTTCAGATTTTTCAAATCGGTAAAATGATTGAAACAGCGCAAGTCGAAAATTATTCCTAGCGGCGAATTTGGGAGTGTCAAAGAAATAAGAACACTTGATTCCAACGAAATGCAACGTGTTGCTTCATCAGCAATCCGTCAAAAATTGCATCCAGGAAGTTTCTCGCCTACAGAAGCATAACAGCTTCACGCCATCCTGAGAATTTCATACTCATCGGCACCGAGTAGAGAATGCCTCTTGATCAACAGTCAATTAAAACACAGGGATGCATTTCGCTATGCCGTACATCTACAAGAGGAAGAAAAAAACTTTTTACTGCAGTTGAGTTCACGGAACAGTTTTGTTTTCAATTCGCGGGAAAAAAAGTTCATTCAAGACGCGCAGTCTCTACACATAACTTCACCTCGCTTCAGTTATCGAGATTTCTTGAAGTTTCCCCAAGCTTTTCGGGAAAACAACGAAATTCAATTGCAACACAGAGAGAAAGAATATTTCTTTTCGAAACAGAAACTAAGAAGATTGGCTCATGAGTTCACACTTCCCTTTTCCGTTGTCATATTAGGATGAATAAAGATTAGGTACTGTAATCTATTACAGAGGAATACAGTACTGAACTTGATAATTTTTTGGCCATTGTTCCACTTTTTTCAATCCCGCTCTGATAAAATGAAACGATAATACAGTTGAGAATTCAACCCATTGTATCGCTGAGGAGAAATGGTCATAGCTCAGGTCATGGCTCAAGTTGAAGAAAAGTCACATCGAATGAGCGAAGTACGGTAATTAATAAACTCTCGTAATTTATTCCACAGATGTTTTGAAAATGTCAACTCGGAAACCGGTTTACCCGCAGAACTCAATTTCGAAGCGGGGAAACACCTTTCGTAACATCCTTTATAGTAGAATTTCAACCCAGAAATATCCGAGGAATTTTTTCTCGCAAAAAAAATTGATCCATTTTCTTGGAAAATGCAAGGGGAAGAAACAAAATTTACGAGAATAAATTTTTTGTTTGACATATTTCGACATGATTTAGCTCAAATTTTTACGAATGTTTCGCAAAAATTACAGTTCAACACAGAACTTCGAACACACAACGTACATTTCCTTCGAAAACTACATCACAATTGATTCGCCGAAAAAATTTCCTCATATCCGAAACTATAAAGAATGCAACAATATTAAAAATTCTTTCAGAGCTGCAGAAAAAGGCGCCGATTTTCCAAGAAATAATACCCACATCTACATAAGTTCTATAATTATATCCAGTATATTCTGGTACAGTACTCGGTCCACGAAGTATTTTCCTCATACTCATCGTCAAGCAGTAATAATAATTTTAAAAAAAGATCAACGAACACAATTCTAAAACTGGGCTTTTCAAGCGGTGATCAGCAAACACCTCTATCCATAATCTCAGATTAAACAAAAAAAAAAACAACAGACAAAAGGATTTAGTGAATAATTTGTTCCGAGAAAAGTAAATTGAGAATTGCAAGGCTGAACGATGAATTGCCACTGAACTAATACGTTTCCAACTCACGTCAAGAGCATTACAGCATAGTGAACAGTGTTAAATCCATGAAGCCAAAGGAATTTATGCAAAGGTAGTGGCGCTTAACCCTCTAGTACGCACACACACACACTCACATCACGAGGCGGCACGTGAACACCGACACGTCTCAAAAATGGTACAGAAAGCAAAATCGAAAAACATCCCTGTGCTAAAGTATATGAAGACGAGTTTGGGACCTTAAGAAAATCTTCGTTAAAAAAATAAATGAGCGATAAAAAATGTAAATAACATTGTGATTATTCTGCAGGAAAAAAAAATGTTTACGCATTTAATTAGTTGTTACGAGATTCTACTGTACCTGAGCAAGTTTCTCAATTCATTAGGAACTCGGGAGAAAAATGCAGTAAGTGTGCGAGGTTTTCCCTTCTCCGAGTTTTACAGCTATTGGGAAAAATTGATATCTTTTAGATGCCAAGATGAGACAGTTGCAATGGTGAAAGTAGAAGGTAAAAAAAAAAACAAGTACCGTAACTTATCTTGCGCCTAGAAAAATTACATCAAGCGTAGGAACTCCACAGAGCTCAATTCGGCAAAATAACAAACGAACAAACACACACACGCATGATATAAAAGTATAAAACACAAAACGAGACGTGCTCACTCCAGAACAACGCGCATCAACCACTCGACTCATAATGAACCCCGGGCCACGTGAAGGAAACGTGGCGCACTCGCGTCAACGACGGCGCCATCAGTCTCGAGTCGACACATACCCAGCACAGCAAGTGAATAATGAAACAAAGCCCACCGAAAACATCCCTTTTCCACCGGCAAAAATGAAGAAAAAAAAACCCCTCCCCACCCACTTCCACATCCACACACATACGCTCCTTCACCTCATGCATGCGGGTGACGACAGTAAGGAACACCGTTCGACACCACGGATCACGCGCAATGGTTACGTCGTCGACGCTAAAAAAAAAAAAAATTCAGTGGACATGAGATGCGAAGGCCTTGAAGCTCATTCATATCTTTATTCCCCCATCGATGGACGAACTGCCGACACCCAACAAGGCCCGTTTTCCTTCCCACAAGCAATTCGAAAATGGAATGGCGGGAAAATGAATTTTCAGTGATTCCTAAACTTGAGTGGGGGCCCGACATACGGACGATTCGACTTGGGAATCGTGGAATTTTTTTTTTACATCTTTCCTGACAACTGGACAGTTTTTCGAGATACGTAAATACACGTTGCCAACGGATTCAGAAAAATGGGTACACCTTTTCTGCAAAATCTTGATATCTCTTCATAAAAATCCGAATTCAATCCTATAAATTTGCTCTAATTCATAATCCAAAACGGGCCAATTTTTTGCTTTTCTTTTCAAGTGTTTTCATCATCTGAGCACATTATAGCAAGATTTGGGCTCGTTCTTAGCTTTTTAAACTCATTATCATGCCAAAAAGGCTGATTATACGTGGGTTTTCTTCAGCACAGTTACTTATATAACTTGAAGTTCAGAAAAAAATCCATGCAATTTGTCCAAGGACTTTTTCCACTCTATTGACGAACACGAAAAGGGATGGAAAATGTTCCCAATGAAATCTATGGGAAAACGTGTTCCGACATGCGGACACAGTCCAAGAATTATGTTCGCATCTCTGGTCCTCACTGTACTTTAAGCATAATTTTGCTTTAATAATAAGCAAATGCCTAAGCAAGGTTTAATAGCGCATTTGTTTTGCAGGTGATGGGCATCGTTGCTTCTCAGCCAACACAATAATTTCAATAAAACTCAAATCAGAAATGAATCGCGGAATAAATGTACCACATTTTCAAGTTCAAGATAATTTATACTGTATTTTGAATTTTTTCAAGTGTTCGAGGAGACCAAATTAATAATGAGTTGAATCAACGAAGTCACCGACTCTTCACATTTCGAAGAAATTGAAAAAAGTGTGGGTTTCCTTTGCAGACGATTTAAAACTGTTCACTATGCTGTAATGCTCTTGACGTGAGTTGGAAACGTATTAGTTCAGTGGCAATTCATCGTTCAGCCTTGCAATTCTCAATTTACTTTTCTCGGAACAAATTATTCACTAAAAAGAAAAAAGTATTGAGGAGAAATAAAAAAAAAAAAAAAAAAAAAAAAAAACGCACGGAGCAGCATCAAGTATATACTGTACTCTAAAACTTCAGTCCTCACTCAAAATGCAGATGAGGACTTGAGGATAACAAGACAATTTCAATTTCAAAACCTTTCCGGCGAGGCAATTTCAATTTTTCCCTCGATCAGTTCTTTGAATTTTCCCCACCCTCATTTCACGGCTCACTTCGAGCGAACTCCGCATCGCTCATCATACCTACATCATGTCTGGAAAACGCCAAGTTGTTCAAACAGTTTGCGGTCGGGATTATCCTGTGACCGCGATAATATTAAAGCGCATGTTCGTATTTCTTTCCTTATTTTTTTTTCTTTCGTTCGCCAATTTTCCGAAGCTACGGAAGGGCACTTCGCAAAAATCGAAGTTCCGGCGTAAAAAAACATGTCTCACGAAGGTGAATATTGTAAGTGTATTTCTACAGTCAGACACTCATAAAAAATACTATACAGAATTTCAAGTCTAAATGAAGCACAGCAATATAACAAAAAGAAAGAACTTTTTACCGACTTCAAGGACTGCGTGTTCAACATCAGAGTGAGTTTTCAACCCAGTATTCTCAGAAAATTGTGAGTACTGTTCAAACTCGTCGAAGCCCACGTAAAATCGCATGTACAGTATATTTTTGAATGTATTTTTGAATTTTAATGAGCAGGAATCACGAACAGCAGTTGGTTTTCTGAACAGTTCTAGAACGAAAAAGAAAAAATAGGATTCCAAACACGATCGGGCGAAGGAAATCCACAACAAACGTTCGATCCTTCCAATGAACTTGTCAAGAATTAATAACTAGTATATTGCATAAAATGAAGCCTTTGTAAAATGATAGAAAGAAAACGATCATCACACTCCAAGAATCAATTTAAAACTGAATTAAGAAATCAACATAAAAACTGATCCTTTCTTTACAAACACATCTTTCTGCAATCCATATCTGAAGAGACACTCAATTGAGTGGCTCTCAGTTGTCAACACAGGTGCTGTCAATCATTATTTCTAATGGAATCTTAACTTCGACTGACGCGTTGCCTTTTTTTTAACAATACGATTTTGATCCTGGGACTTGAATAACATACAAAAATTGAAGAAAGTTCGGGAACGTTTTCCGCATAAATCGCGATTTTTCTTAGGAATTCCAGAGGCCTTTCGGAAATGTCCTCGCATAACCTAGTAAGCAGAAAATCTGATCAAACTCCCCGATTTTTCCAGCAGACTCTCGCGCGCCAAATCCACTCGAACACGACGCTTCTCCAAAATCCAATCTAAAATCCTACTCTTTTCCGAAGTTCCAGAGGAAAAAATTCCATCCGTCACGGTGTCAGATTAATCTATCAAAAGAAGCAAATTGATAACCTTCAGGAATGACGCGATGGAGAAGAGCGGAAAAAAGAATGATAAATTCGAACTACAGTTGAACCTCGATAACTGGAACCACTTGAACTCAATTTTTTGTTGTTGTTTCGAGTCCCTGAATTACCGTACTTCCTTTACAAACACTGCATTAAAAGCGTCATTATTCGAAAGCTTTCCTCTTCATACTGTGCTACCGAAACGCAAATTTTCTGGATGCCGTTTGCTAACCATTTTATCGATACAGGAAAGAGAAAAACAGTAAAAATGTGTTTCGAAATGAAGTGGAAGACCAATTGGGCTAATAAACCCTTGTCTCCAAGTTCAGCATCACGTATACTCATTTAAGAGGCAATGCTGTGCCTAGAATATTACCAACTATAATTTCCTGTACAGTACAGTAATTATTTTTTCTTTCCACACACAAAAATGCTCATTTCCCCAACTCAAATCTTTCCAACTCGAATTTTTTTTTGCTGGTCTCAGAGTTCGAAATAAAGAGGTTCGACTGTACCTGGAACAAAAGAGAGAGAGAGAAAAAAAGAGGAATGGTTTCTACTCCGAGTCCGACCTGCCGCGAAAACTAGGGATGAGGTCAACGGATCGTCGGCGCCACGCCCAGACTTCGATTCGCCGTCCGGGCCCAATCAATAATTCAGTTCAGACTGGAAAAACAGGGATAACGAGGGCTTTTCAAAGCTCTCCCCCCCCCCCCCCCCAAATCGCGTAGCGTTTGCAAGGCTTGAACGATACAACACGGATTCTTTGCATGGTTCCGATCGATAACGACAAAAAGAAAAAAGACGTTTTGCGGTCCCTCCGGAAAGACCGCGAAGTTTCATTTCAAGGGCTAGTTCATTGCTTCAAAAGAAGAAGTCTTTTTATGCACACACAGAATTTTTTTTCATGATAATCATGCGTCTGATTCGCGCAACATGAATTCAAATAGCAGTACATCAGAAAATTCAGATGCATCAAAGGCAGAAAATGGCAAAATTAAGTCGCCGGTTCCCGAAATTTTCCGTGTGACCTACCCCAATTGATCACGAACAAGTATTCCTCCCTGACTCATATCGATGAGCCATTTTTCATGCACTGTTCAGAAATCATACTCAATTCCGTCGTCAGTAAATTTCAAGAAATTACAGTACTATATAGTAAAAATAGTGCAGCATTCCAACCATTTCCTCAAATTTTCCATTTTGTAAACTCCCGATTTCGAGATTTCCCTCAAATTTGTTCTCATTCCTCGCATTCACAAAAAAAATCTCATGTAACTCGGTTGAACACCAGAAACTGGCCTCCGAATGACGTTATTTTCGCGATGACGTCCAACCTAGTTATCTGAAATGTCAAATAGATGTCGCCTGAACCTATAACTCCCGCCCAACTAAAAAGAACTGATTTCAAACCACGAACAGGTTTCTGGGTAGTCTTAAGGTCTTCAATGACAAATAAATTGCGAACAGACATTAAAGTTGTTTCTCTTTCCATAACAAACAATAAAAACACAGCAGAAGTACTACAAAAGAAGAAAATTTTTTCGAACACTCTAACCGCTAGTATACCCCGGTAAAATTATGGTCGGATAGCCGCTAATGCCATAGCAACTCCGATTTTCTTCCAAGGATAACTTTTTTCACGCACATATGCTAACCGAGGCAAAGACTGGCAGTTCGAGTCTGTTGCGCGAAAAATCAGCTACGAGAATCGCTTGTTAACCGCGCGTCAACACTGCAAAAAATCCTCTACTTCTCCCACTATTATTCTACAGTAACGACGGTCCGAAAATTGAAACACCATAACTCTTTAATTATTTTATAAAGTTTAGCAGGGAAGCGCAATTACGGTCACGCGATTGCACGGCAATGACGAGACTGACAAACAGAAAGCAAGACAAATTTTCAACACTTCGCCTGCGAAAACATATCTTCCTGACACATTATCCGTTATCGGAAGTCCATTTTCATTTCGAGAAAAGATAACGTCAAGTCGGTCGATCGACCAAACTTCGAACGCGGGCATCAATTGATAACAACCAGTATGTCAAAATGTTGGGACAAGAAAAAAAAAACATAGCTAAAACCCTACACACGGAATCACGAAGCAAGGGGTAGATTCGCTACCGAAGAAAACGGCCGAAAAGATTTTTCAAAGCCAAGGTCAGGTAAAATGTAAAAATGTTCCACTGCATGCCGTCAATTTCCCGAAATGCGTGTTCCTCTGGGAATTCAATTTTTTCCTGAGTTACAAGTTAGAATCTTACAACCCCAGAAATTCTTGTAACAAAACCAATAAATACGCAAGTTTTGTGAATTTTCAAAAAATGGCAATAATGTCGATTCGTTTTACCGTTCCCACATTCAAAATTGAGGAAAAACTAAGACTCACCATCATGGACGCGTCGTTCGAGCGCAAGGAGATCCAGTCGGAGTCCGTAGATGACCCAAAACAAAGCACTGGCCCCGATGAAAATGGCAAAAGCGAGCAGCCAGTTCACAAACTTCGACATCTTCGGGAAGCACAGAAACCGCTGGGTACTTCCAGTTTTGGCCGGACGGGCACTCGCTTCTCCCGAGCTTGAAACACTCCCGGATGGCGACTTGCTGAAACATGGTAAGACACGTTCAAGTATTAGTAATTAAGTCATCGCATGTCATTTTCAGGGGAAAAATCCGAGTATGATAGAGCACAATCCCATTCTAAACCAAGCCTCGTTCTTTAATTACGGAATGCTTCGACATTTACTGAAAGAAAATTATCTGAGAATATATTTCATGAATTCAATACGACAGCATTTTCATCACAACTGAAAATTGTTTTTGTACGTGTAGATGTCACTGAGAGTCAGGATAGAATTTTCAGCTTCTCATCCTTGATTAAACTCATTTCTGAAACATCCCGAATAAACTTGGGGATAGCTAGTATAATTGCAATAACGAAGAGATGTTGAGTTCCGGGGAAAAGTCGAATACTGTGAAATAATTCAGTTCCCATTTCAAAGATTCTACAGCTTCAAACAATTTTGTGAACCTTATCGACGTAGAGTGCCTCCAAAAATCACGAATTTCGAAGCAGTTCTAAAAGCGTTACGACAGAAACACCAAAGATACTTGAATGCGTCGCAGGTGAGAAATCGGCATGTGAAATTAAAATTATTCAATATCTCCGAGCTAATCGAAGAAAAACCAAGTTCGTCAAAACATGCATGTTAAAATGTCGAACGATCATAGACTCAAAATTTTAGAGAAGCAAGCCAACTTTCCCATCCCCAAAAGTACGTCAACGAGAGCCATTCTAAGACGATTCTAGGAATGAGCCAAATTTGAGAGGATTTCTTGCACACGAACAAAAATAGCTTACCGACGATGTTTCCGATAGACCTTCTTCCGACCAGCGAAAGAGGTTTGCGGAGGAGGCAGTTGGTAGTGGTAATGCACATCACTCGAACTGGAATCATGGCCATCTTGCAGGAGTTGCACAGCTTCTTTACTCCGCTGACCGTTTTCCATAACACCCAAGTTCATATCCATGAATGCTGCCCCAACGATCCGAGTAGAAAACGCTCCCGACGCTTGGGCCTCACATTATTCCACTTTTCTGTAGACACTTACACTAGCCCTACCGAAAATGCATGCCAATTTCTGTCGATGAATTCGCAAGCAAGGTTTTAAAAAAAAGCCTGAATCAAAAAAGTAGAAAAATTTACAAAAACGGAAAAAAAAAGAAATGCATTAAACGTCAAAAATTGCCACATGACGATTCACACTTGGAGTGATGGTCGATTCTGAGAAGCTTCAAGGTTTTCGTTCGCACTCGCAAACCCGGTACCTCCCTGAAATTGAGAGAGCGTAATTCGCCAGTTAGTGACTTAGTGCATACAGTACACTGCATTTATGAGCTCTTCGAGAAAGTCATCCAGCATATTAAATTCATAGGAATAAACAAACAAAAAAACAGATGAACCTATGAAGAGGAAATTTCGTAATTCAGAGAACAAAAGGTGAAATATCTATGAGCAAGTTCATTAAGGAGCTAACATCAAAACAACGTCATAAGTGTATGTTAATGTTAACGTACATGACCAATTATGAAACACTGTAAACCATGAGACGCACCTCTGATTTCTTTCGTCTCGAAAATGACGACAACTCTGCCTGAGAATCCGCGACATACTGATAATACTATTTTTATTTGGAATCAAACGGTCGTCCCGTTGATTTAATTAATAATGTACTTCAGTTGCCAGCCTAATCTCCACACACTTCAAATTGGATTCAGGATTCAAATCCCTGCGCCTCGAACTAAAAAATGTGACAAGGATTTGTTAAATTAAATTTCAGAATAAATACTATTTGATGTATCGCGCTCATGTAAATGATTTACATCTGTAAATCTACATAAACTTCACAATACCGTTTAAACCCGACTGGATTTCAAATCATTTTTTGCGTCTTTACGGGTCGATAAGTTATGTTTACGAGTTCTGAAACTTGATCTTTTGTGGCATTGCTATATGCATGTTTCGTGCAAGTCAACTTTTGATACTTTCTAGTTTTTTGAACTTGCTCTTTCTAGGAGTAACCGTAGAAACTGAAAAAAATTCGTGAAACAAACGAAATTCAACACCGAGAAAACGCACCATTTTCAGAAGAATAATGTCGCTCTCTTTCAACGTTTCGCCCGTCAACGGATGCAACATATCCTTCTTTATCAGCTTCTCCACACACTCGACGGTAACCACGTCACCACTGGCACGCAATGGAACGAACAAACAAACAGTTAAAAGCGTATCACAAAAATTCGACACCACGAATCACTCACGTCGGTCGGAGTACGGCGCAGGGCGTGGAATTATTCAACACGTCCCGCGACAAGGCGCAAACGTATCGGCGCTCCTTGGCGACAAAACCACGCTTCGAATCTCCTTCTTCTTCCGGGGCTCGAGTGAAGTTAACCGGGATCAAGTCTTTCGCCTTGATGGGTTTCCCACTCATGGGACACAACACTGCTGAACTCTGAAATAACAGGTATTCATTTAGTACTGTACTCGCCCAGACTAATTCATCATAATCAGGATACTGATTATTGCGGGTAACAAATAAAACAGGGGAAAAATAAGAGAACTTGAAGCTCTTTAATCCTCTTTACAGACAGCTTTGTTCAAGCGAAAACCTGATCCTTGACATTCCTTTTCGTGAATAAAGGAAAACATTATGTTTCCCACTTTCAAGATTGAATTGCTTCTGAAATGAATGGAGAATAAATATTCGAAACACCGTTTTGGAACAACGCTTTAGAATTTAGTCCTTCAACAATATTGTTCCTCTGCACGGAAACTTCTGTAATTTAAAAAAATTCTTGTCTTCGTCCAGCATCGTAAAACGGGTTTCTTTCTTCAGTAGATGTCACGAACTCACGATAATTGGAAAACATTTTAAGGTAAACCGAATCTCCTCGCGTTTTGATATGCTATTGATTCCTTTAGATTGCTCATAAATGACCATAGTTATAAATATTGATGGCATAAATTAGGTTCCTGTGGATCCAGCAGATTTACGATTGGTAGAGGGAAACAGAAAATTTTCGCTCAACTGGTTTCTTCATTGAAGTGACACCAGACGCAGGAGTCAAGGAAGGAATCCAGAAACTCGGCAAGGCCTTATCCTTTCCGTCAACCATATTCGACACGGATTTCGAATCCGCTTCACCCGACTTGAAGGCCTTTACACGTTCGCTCACAATGCCGTCTTCTCTCTTGAGGAACTTTTCTTCACGATTTTTGACACGAGCTTCAACAACCTCACTCGCTTCGTTCTGCAATCTTTCTTGATCCTTTTCCCACGCTTTCAGGTGCTTTTTGTAATCCAGCTTTTTAGTAATCATGTACTCCAAGATGGCTGCTTTGTCGAATAGGAAACCATCCGCCCTGAAAAGATGGTCAAAATTAATCATGATATACAGTATAATCATTACTTGTTTTATGAACACCTCACTTCACGAGGAATGCAAATAACATTTTTAATGAATTCCGTTCAGAAGTTAACAGGGATTACAGTTCATTTTATTACAACTTAAGACGAATTTTGTGACTTATTCAGCTTCAAAACCCCTTTGAAAAAAAAATAGAATAATCGCTTAAAATTTGAACTCACGTAACAACAGGGTGTTCACAAGGTTGCAGTGTTAAGCAACATGCGTCGAAATCTTTCACACTGTCTTTCGCCAGACGCATTTTCTTACTGCCATATCCAGACGTTCCGGCATCTTTTCGTTTCTCGTGGTACGTATAAACCGCACTAGCTGTTGAGTTTCTCGCGTGACGCGTCATTTTGATTTCCTGAAATTTTCCGCAGCCAGAATTTTTAATTGGGGGAAAAATCAGGCCAATTTTCATAGTTGAAGTAAATTGAAAGAAATCTGACAATAATGTGTGAATACATTCCGTCTCTCGCGGATACAATATCGATGGCAGTTGAGAAAAAGGACCGAAGTTCAATCACGGCTGATTTTCCAATGGTATCATCAAAGCTTATCCTCGAGCGCAGATGTCCATCACGAATTTGAGCATAGATAATTCCCCTCTTGCGAGGAAGCAATATAATTTCGAATTTCGCACAAGAATTACGACGAAGAATCGAAGTCTAAAACTCGCATACCCATGCCTAGCAAAAATCCTCAAGAATTAGAGAGAAATCGACACCGCATCATCTTTCGTCCAATGACAATATTTCACTGAAAAAGGTTCGGGAATGTTCGGGGTGGCAGTTCCTTCAGAAATCCCAACAGTTTCCCATAACAAGAAATTTGAACACAGTTTCCACGTTGAAACGATATTTGCGCGAAGATAAGACGCACATTGATTTTCCAGCTCCTGCAACTTGAAAATTCTACCGCAAAATCTAAGAAGCCATTCAACTTACACACAGCATGCCAAAAACTATTTTACTGCACAGCGCCAACTTTGAGGTATGAAAATGCTTCAATGACGCAGGAGTGTCTTCCCAAATACAGTATATTGCATTGAACTTACAAGATGCCAAAAGAAGGGGGTACAATTTTATATCGAGTGACTAATACCGAGACATTCTCAGATTAAGCAACACCAAGACTCTCACGTAACTTGAAAGAAGATAAATCAGAAAAAGCTAAAAAATGCCTCAAAGTTTGCACTTCGAACTGTCACTTTCTTGTAGCTGTTTAGAATCAACCTTCAACTCGTTCAGGAAGTAGAAGAATCTTCAATAAACTGAAAATATACCAGACGTTTCATCCAGTAGCTTTAAATTGAATAGATACACCTCTTTCGCCAACACCAAAAAAAGAAACGTTTAAAAAGAAAAGTTTAAATCCAAGAACTTGATTCTTGAGCGATTAAGACTCGGAACACAGGTGCTCTTGTCAATACTGGTAGCAGAGGAAAAATACGATATCTTGAACACACAAAAACGGGTGAAAAAAATTGAAATTCTAAATACCCTTCTCCACAGCACAGCGGATGAATCAGTTCAAGAATAATCCGTTGTTCAAGCAACCTCAACACGACCCAAAAACATTGAAAAAATCGAACGGAAAGTACATGAATAAGGAATGTTCGCCGAGATCATGATTGGAACGAAAGTCATTCGGGTTGAGCACTTGCGGCAGCTTCCGCTTTCTGGTACAAAGTCACGTAATCGACAGCATCGGAGATTTTCTGACGCTCGTTCAGAATGCGCACAGCGGCATCGAAGATGAGATCAGCTTTCTCACGCCTTCCCTCCACATTTAGCTTCCGATCAATGAACACTGGAAATGAGCCGTCCGAGTTCAGATTGTCGCCGAGTTCGACCAGATCAATGAGATCTGGATTACTCATTAGGGTCAGAGTTCTGGGATCCTCAAGGACGCGCAAAAATAGAGTCCAGGCGCGATGAGAGCCAATAACACCTTCGTCCGTCACCGACGCACTATCCACAACATCACTGCAAATTTCCGACAATGCATAAAAAATGAATTTAGAACAGGGAATCAATTTCATTCCACCCACTCGGTCCCGGAACTGTTATACAGAAGCCAGCTGTTCCACACGCTCCGGTCATGAAGTTGTGTGCTTTTCTAGCTTTCGCTCTTCTCATTTGCTCCCTCATTTCTATGGACACGTGAAATCCTAGAGATGAATTGCAGTTTCTTTCCAACAACAACAAAAATCACCATTTACCCTGCGCCATACTCCCTCGGGTCATTTCAATTTTTCTTCCCCGTGTATTACAAGTTTTAACCTGTTAAAATCGTTCTGAACACATTTTGAAATACAGATGCGGCATTAATGTACCATCATTTAAACAACCTATGCACCTAAACAACAGAATCTGATACAAAAAATTAAACTAAGCTCACATAGAACGAAATCAATTCAACTGAAATAACTCAAAACCCAAGACACTCGAATGAATGAAGAAATGTACATGACTCTCAGGAATATAGCACACCACTTGACGGCAGTGGAATACAGTCACTCTTAACAATATCCGTAAACCTTCTACAAGCATTCGAAGTGAGGAACGAAGTACACTACAACTCATCACACACTATGGTACTAGAGTCTTCGAGTGCAAAAAGTCTTAGAAGGCGCATGGAATGGCTGGCTCCGTTGAATAATGCAGTTGCACGTAGAATTTCTTCTCAGGTAGGCAATTGAAACTCACCTTCCTTCTTGAGGCGACCAATCTTCACCATGCTTGATGAACATGAAAACAGTCTGATCTGGCAGAGTGTCGAAATAATCACTGTCACAAACTTGAGTTCCATCTCGTTCCAGTACGACCTTATGCAGGTCGCCCGGTGGCACGTTCAATGTGGCACATCCTTCGACAATAAATCGATTGATCATACCGGCAATCTTGAATCCAAGGGAAGTATAAAGCATTACCCTTCTTGCGAAGATCCTCATATGAAGTAGCGACTAACCCTTTCCGTTTCTCGCGGCCAGAGTCCCATACTTTGCACGCTTTTTTGGAAGACATCACTGCATTCTGAACGCGTTCAAGAATACATGGCAATCATAACTGACAAGAACTCCTGGTGCAAACTAATGAACACGTATTTCAATGAAATAACGCTCACGGACGATTCAGATCCAACTGGAGAAGTTGGTCACAACAGGATCTATTATTGTACACAAACACGTGCCACAAAAACCAAAGAATTCACATGTAGATAAAATTAAATCGACACATGGCCGATGGCAAAGACGAGATCACGGGTCCGTAACCCTGAGCATTGTCGTACAGCTCGAAAAGAGGGGCCGCAACAAGTTTGTAGTTTTTCGGAACGGCGAACATCGCTTTTTCAGGAATTTGGACCAAAAATAACTTCTTGTGCTCCTTCGGGGAAGTGATGTGCGGGGGTATGTACGGATACTGCGGAGGTTCGAAATTCGGGCGCCACCAGTTCCCCAATGTGTCTTCAATTTTCCATTCTGGGGGAGGAGAGTTTTGGCGACCGAGCGTTTCCATCAGTAACCGTTTAAGTCCTTCGGTTTCTCCTTCCCCAGGATCTAACTCTCCACCGGGTAACCGGAAAAACGTCGTTCCTAGCTGCAGTAGCAGCACGTGCGGCAGTCCGTGTTCATGAACCAGCAACACCTAGATATTTGGAAAACCGTGACTCTGAAACTTAATCGCCAATATGCAGCAGAAACTTACGCCTTCCACACTCCTTCGTACTCCAAATTTCGCAAAATCATCTCGCATACGCTGAAATCTTTCTGGCACCGTCTTGTCACGCTCGAACAAAGGATCTTTGACTCCGAATGTGTAATTCGTCAGAGGGTACAACTTGATCGTTCTATGGATAACAAAGTTCAGTGGAATAATGCCCATTAGGGACAAGATCCTGGTACTTCATACTTTACCTACCTATTCATCGTATATTCCTCGATCATAGCTTCTTGAGACATCCCTGGAAACGGTATAAAACCAAACCACAATCCTTCAATTCCTGGAAAGTGTCACACAGAATAAGTTTTCACGGAAGTCACGATCGATCGAACACTCCAAAATTATTCGTACCAGTAAAAAATACACGAAGTTCACAAAAATCAAGTCAATAAAGACACACAAAGAAAGGACACTTTGAGAGATATTGTGATTTGATGTGGATGCAATGCTGCTTGGTTCCTGTGTTACTGTGAGGTAGCCTTTGAAGTCACTCATTGCCAGGGTTGCTGGAGGCGTTGGTTCCGAAGCTGTAAGAAAGCAAAGTACACATAGAGGGCAGCACAGGTTGAAAAATGGACGCGCGCATGAACGCGCACAGTGCGTTTAACTGGCATCGCTAAAGTACACTAGACCCCACAATCCTTCAATTCCTGGAAAGTGTCACACAGAATAAGTTTTCACGGAAGTCACGATCGATCGAACACTCCAAAATTATTCGTACCAGTAAAAAATACACGAAGTTCACAAAAATCAAGTCAATGATCAGGGAAGGGATCCTCATATGACGAGCCGTTCTTCAGTACATTAAATTAAGTGTCGCCGGTAAAACAACACGTTCAATCTGGCACGCGTGAAAATCTCTTTTTTCGGCAGCATGACTAGATTTCGCAGCTGAGAAGAAAACATTAATCCCACTCCCGATTTCACTTCAACTCCAGAGAAGGTAGCGTAGTTCTTGCGATTCGGATCCTTGAAGATCTTTCGGAACTGCATACCCAAGTGAACGGCCATTAATATCCCATACCTCAAAGAACACATCATCTAAGCATCAAAGTGCAGCTCTATACGGAGTCCCCTTTACAACTCAAGATGAAGTACTGTACTGTATAGTACTGTATAATATTGTACAGTGCATATATTCTTGTACTCAGGCAGGGGTAATTATTGTGAAGGACTTTGGACCACCATGCTTTATCTGTAATTTGGTTGATGAAAGCAGCTTATGTTGATCAAGTAATTGATTTCCATGGTTTCATCAATGTACTGTATTATTGTTGTAGGGTACTATCATTGCGCAAGCAAAATGTTTATCCTCAGCTGCATGCATGCTTGAATGAACTTAATTGTCCATCAGCAACAGTCTGTCATTTGTGCATTTGGCTGCATTCTGCAACACAACTGTGTTTGACAATATACAGCAGCAATTAATCATTTCATCAAAACATGTTGATAATAAACGCCTATGTAAAATTTTTGAAGTTTATCCTGCTGTGAGAATATCTTGACAAAGTTTTTGTTCCATTGACTGCTACTTGAGTCGAACGGTTTTTTGTCTTTCAGAAAAAACCATAATTTTTTTAATTTGAAATATTTCGATGAAATTCGTCTATCATTTAATGTTTGTCAAAGTGAATGTTCGAATTCACACTTTACTCACACAATTCAATTTATGTAAAAAAAATGTGGTCAGAAATTATTTTCCTTGACATTCCACATTGTTTGATACAGTACGGAAGTAAATGTCCACATTTGGGGATCTATCTAATTTTAGAATAAACAGAACAAATTCAGATTAAAAATATAAAAAAAATTCGAGCATTTCTAGAAGGTAGTGAAGTGGAATCGAGAAGAAATTAGGGCAGAGGCAATTTGGGGCAGTTAATGTTTCAATGTACAGTACAATATAATCTAAGAATGGAAACATTTCTTGATATTGCTCGGACAAGTTTGGCAACGAACTACACAGATGTCAGCAGGCGTCGCTTCCAGTTCATGCATGCATGCTTCTCACTTGTAACCCACGCCCAGTTCCAACTGGAATCGGGCGCTGTGTAGAATGAGCTCTTTCCTTCGTCCGCGTCACGAGGTTCCCCGTGGAAGAACGCGCGGGTTGACTCCAACCAAGCAGCACGCGCTTCTAATGCGCGGAATAAGCCGGAACGACCGAGAACGTTCTATACAACAAAACGTGTTCCAACTCGCACCGCCCGGTTGGAACTGGGATCAGATCGAGGGTGAATGAATAAAGCCACCTCGGGGGAAACGTGGTGAAGCATCTGAGGTGTTTGGGTTCGACAACCGCCGCGGAGACGTGATCAACATGCTCATATGTTGATGGTTACGTTTGAAAAACATTCCGTGGCTCGGATGGTTGGAAATCGTAAAATTTATACTTATACTATCCCATTAAAAATGTGATGCTTTTCTTCTTGGAATGGCTATATCATAACACATATGCAGCTATAGTGTTGTGTATTGGAAGCACCGAATGAAAATACTGTATTCAAATCGAACATCTCACTTTTTGTAACCAGAAAGAACACACATTTTCAATTTTGTGTTGGTATTTACTCCCTGAATAATTAATGCCCCTCATTATTCATCAGGCAACCGCGTGTAAAATACTATACAAATTAGTCAAAATCAGCGCGAACAACAATTCTCTCAGAAAAAAAGGCTCGTACCACAAAAGAATGTTGATATAATGAATGAAACTATTTCTGGGCCTGATGGAAAATTTCTTCCTGAAAAATCTCTGTATTCATTTTTAAATAGGTAATATTGCATCTGTGTATATATGCAGCATGCAGAAATCTTGAAAAAGAAACGTTTTCATAACGCGATTTTATCATATTAATAAACGCTTATGAGTCAAAACCAAACAAATACAATATCCTGTGAAAAAAAAGTTGAAAAATAGGAGAAATAGTAATCCGCGGACACATTATCCGTGAAACAATAATCGATCATGTCAGCCATTTAATTAATTATAGTAGGTGCTGGTTTTCTTTCAAAACGGCCTGAAAAACTTTTACATTTCTGTTCGCACCTCCCGTATATTGCATCAACCGCAGAAGCTATATGCAATTCCTCCTTACATGACGTTTATGCATCGATCAAGAAACTCCAAAGTAACACAGCGTATAGTGATACCTTCTCTACGCTCATAGACACATTTTCTGACGCAATCCACGTCTGGTCTCGCGTAAGAGTTCAGGGATGAGCTCTTGTATACTTCTTCCAGGATACACAGATGACGCAAGAATCGCACTAGTCCACGTCTCGTTTCCGTCAACAAACCATGCGCCGACGACGTTGCCATCCCGTATTAAGCATCCTTGAAAACGAAGAATCGGATTTAAGGGTTATAAACTCCAAGGCCTGAGGAAATGCATCGGACTCGGCTCGCCTTCTTCCATTCCAAGAAAGAATAGATTGCCCTCGGAATAGCTCTTCCTGTCCCTCTGGAAAGAAATGCCGGGAAGCTCGAGAAAATGTGTAAATAGAAAAGAAGAAAAACATCCGCTTTCCGGAACTATATCTACTCTTCCAGCGAGCGCTGTGACGTCACGAGTTCCGCGGATCGCGTCATTACGGCGAGCGCTTCAAGTTGATGGGCATTAAACTCACGATTTATCCGTTGGTACAACGTGTCCCGGCGAAACGGACTGCATCCCTTGCGGGACAAGCAGCATATACATATAATGCTGATGGCACTGAGCCAATATTACTGTTGCTGAGAATCACCTGCAGAATTCCACTATCAAAATTCAGTACAAATGATTTTTCGAAAGTTCAGCTAGTATAACTAAGGAATGTTTCTCAATTTTTTTCTTATTTGAGGACAGCACTGATATATTTAAATTTAAAATAAGACTCAGGGCGAGAATTCATATTGTTCTGCCTTCACTAAAAACTGCCCCAGAAAATGACCAAGGATGAGAGCTAAAAGCATGAATTTGTGGATCAAAATATTGCATTTTGTAACAGAAAAGAATGCATTTTGCGTGGGTGGTTTCCTTTTTTTTGGGGGGGGGGGGGTTACTGTACAGTAATATCGTATTGCAAAAAGCCATTTTGTTACCCAGAAAAACTTTGTGAGACCCAAAATAAGCGTTGTAGCAAAACATATTCTTCATCAAGATTCTTACCTCAAATTGTGACACTTTTTTAAAGAAGAGGATACTTCCTTCGAAGCCGAATTTTTTCTGGAAAATGCAATATAATCGTTGAACGAATTAACTACATTTTCCAGCAGAATAAATTTTTCTCGCAGCAGACATCAGCAACATAAATGTTCTCAAGTAAGAATAAATATTTCCATTCCCACAATAAGTTGATTACAATATTGTATTTGGAGAACTACAAAAAATCTTGAAAACAAATTTGATTTTCTGAACAATTAAAATTCGTCCTGAAAAGTTCTTTTAGCATTGTGCGTTTTACGTTTTGGTTAGAACCGCACAAATAATTTTCTATACTGAATAAATTATTGCATAATGGCATCAATTAAAAAATTTGGACTGCTTCCCGCTGAAATCTCATATTTATTTCTTTGAATCAAAGATTTATTAGTGCATTTTTAGCAAAACGCATGAATTCTGATAATTTCAAGGAAAACTGGAAAGATCATGAAGGTACTTCATTTTTTATCTTGAATATTTTTATAACAGGATTTTTAAATCACATTCTCTACAATATTTCTGCTAGTACGTTGAAAAATGGAGGTACGACTAATATGGTAAGTCTTCGACTACATCATAAAATAATGGACTGTTCATGATCACGGATCCTGTTTTTTTGCACACAATTTTATGGCTTAAATCATTCGACAGCACGGTTTAAAAAAAATATTCAATTTCAAACTAATTTCCATCGAAAGAAAAGGTCGAAGTAAGAAATCTGTGGTAGCACTTCAGAATTCAAGACGCCGTCGACTTCAACACGCTCCTTAATTATTTTATTCATAAATTCTGCAAAATAGTGCATCTTATATTCAAGTAAAATTTAAACACACTAGTACATTACTGTACTCTCGTAAAGAATCGCAGAATATATTAGCTTTCATACACAGTATTCTGCAATGAAAGAAAGAAAAAAACGACGTTTAAATGATGGGAAGCCTTTTGCCATAAGCCCTGAAGTATTTTACAGGCTGCTTTGTTGGAAATTAACAGCGACGTTTCCTTCAAGATACTCCTGAAGTAACTTTTTTTAAAACGCTTCAGCATTCCGAATAAATAGAAACATTTCACTGGTGTAAATGCAGACCCTGAATTTAT